AACTCAAAGTTATATGGGGAAAAATATGGTTTGGTTCACAGTTCGTAATACGACACCACCTCCTTTTGTTTTGTTACCCTACAGTAACCCAAACATGAAATGGGAAGTAATTTTTTAATGTAAAATATGACTAATATGTAGATACTATCAAACATATTACAAGTATATGTAAAGTAAACCTGAACCGGAAAAATGCGACCCTTCCATGACTTATGTACAGAATACCACTGACCCGCTTCCCAATTTCTTCGGTATGCCTGAACTCAGAGCGGCCTTGCGGGAGTAGGAACTATCTCTTTACCTTACTGTCCCCCAAACAACACAGTGGCTCATGGACCCAGGACAAAAAAAACAGGCTTTCATTCGGCTCCACTCTGCTAACAAAACAAGCCTCCTTACCACGACCAAAACCCGACAAAACCTGGTCTTCCCTTAATGGTGCCCCAGTAGGAAGTGCCGAAATAGATCATCTGAGCTAGTATTCAAACACAATCTTCACTCGCCCCCCTCAGAGAAACCCAATTTAAATGTCTCCATGGCTATTTCTTAACTAATCAAAGAATAGCCAAATTCGACAAAACAACCTCTCCCAACTGCCCACGATGCCCCCGGACACCCCTCAAACATACAGACATGACTTTTGTGAATGTCCAGACATTAACAAGTTTTTTTCAAATGATCACTTGCTACTTGAATCACATTCACAAAACAGGCATCTCACCTTCACCATTAACGTCCCTGTGTGGGTTGAAACCTCAAGGCCTTTCCAGGCAGGCAAATACATTATTCCAAAATTTTAATTTTATGCCAAAACGCTACACATTATAGCCTACTGGAAAGAGCACGCTCCACGAACACTGCAGGAATGGGCCCATAAATTGTAAAAAATATGCTGCTCTAGAGCATCTAAGTGCAAAACTAAGGGGCAGGGAGGAACCTTACCTCTAAACATGGAAAGCCTTCACTACCTCTCCTCCAGTCGGCATTGATTATTAAAAACATTTATGGGGACATTTAGGCACTACCCCTCCCCCCTCCATTTTTTTCTACAGGAATATCAGAGCTTAGGAAGACACCAGAGTTGTAGAGTGTATTGAAACAGTTTATTGAAACATGTGGTTTAGACAGGTTTCCATTGAATTTAGATTTAAAGCTTTCGTGACTGCAGGGATTCATCTTCTTGGTTCTTTCGGTAAAGTCACGTAGAAGGGAAGTAATAAAATAATAAAAATAAAACATAATAAAATAATTCTCACGACGTTTCGGCCACAATGCAAGCAGCCGTCTTCAGGTTTTCACCTGAAAACGGCTGCTTGCGTTGTGGCCGAAACCAGGTTTTCACTTGAAGACGGCTGCTTGCGTTGTGGCCGAAACGTCGTGAGAATTATTTTATTATGTTTTATTTTTATTATATTATTATTTCCCTTCTACGTGACTTTACCGAAACAACCAAGAAGAGGTTTCCATTGCATTATAATCCATAACGTGTTTGTGCTGGTGTCAAACCCCTTTCATATCCTCTGTGTACCTGAATCTTTTTGTGAATAAAATATTTTGGGGGGGAAAAAAAGTCAACCTGAACCACACTGCCTCACTGAACTGGGACCCGTGATGGGCTGCATGGGAGACGAGATGGCGTGTGTATTCTTATACAGCGGCATCATCATCGCGAGCAGTGCAGTCATAGTGCAGTGCTTCTTCAGGATCCTTACATGGATTTCGCGGTCAACCGTGGATGGTCAAGCCATAGGGACGCGGTCAGTGAACTTGTTACCTCCATTAATTCGGTGCAAATCGATTCGTCAATCGATTAATCTATGGATGTTTGCTTTCATTCATTGATTTACCAAAATTTGCATAACATTTGCATATTAATGGCATGAATAATGAAACACTTTACACGCACGTGGAGTTCAATACCTGAATTTTAATGGGACCGGACGCGAGGGCAAAGTGGGACAGGATTGATGACACGGTAATCGTGATCGTCGTCATCATCATCATCACCGCGTCACGCTGGGCGTACAGTTTGGTTTCCTGCTCTTTTGAGGTAATTTTGCCTGGTGCACTACCATTTAAAAATTTATGTTAAATCGATTGGTTATTTAAAAACATGTATGAAAAAATTATGTTTTATTAATCACCTAAGCACTGCTTTTAGTGCCATTTCTATTTTAAGAACTCAGCATTTTAATCCGAAACATCAATTTTGAGCAACTTTCCATCGCAATTATCGCTGTCCTTGTTTGCTGAAATTGCAGTTCACTCTGTAGTCACACCTCAATGTGTTCGCGCTTGGCTTTAAACAAAGCATTTGATTGATTTATTGACCCGATCCTGTGTACTTGCAACCGCCATAATAACCACACAAGATGCACAGTTTATCTTTCGTCTGTGTGGGTCGTACGGGTATCAGGCCTGCGGCTGCCATAGACGAGATGGCCCGTTCTTCCTCGAGAAAGATTAAAATCCACTTATGTCAGAGATAATAAGCGTCCACAACTCTTAACTGACAAGCTCCCAACACGTTAATGCACTGTCGCTACTTTATGCACGCGGTTGTTTCGACTCGTAATGGTGCTTCAGAAGCTCAATATGTTGCTGTTTAAGTAAATTATGCATACTTACATCCCGCTTGAATATGAATGCTACAACCAAAACCAAGGGGGGTTTTAAACAAAAGTGTTTTTTGCAGCTACGTTGTTTATGTGTGTTCACGTCATTTGGCTGTAAGAGCAGACCTCTGAGGTATGTCATTGGTGAAGGGACAACTTTGCAATCTGTCCTATGGAAGGAAGCGATGGGTGAGGTTTGATGGCATCGCTGGTTGTGGTCGTTATGACCTCTCGACCTCTTGGCAGTATTTGCCGTGAACAAATTCGATGCACTGAATTCTAAGGGAGGTGGTATTGTCGCGTGGAGAATATAAGTTGGCATGAGCAAGAGTTAACTTAGTCTTGAAACGCATCAGTGCGAAAGAGATAGATGGGCATGGTGGTAATGCGTGCCTTCCAAAGACCCGAAGCCCAGCTTCCAGCTTTACTTTACATCATCAATGACAGTCAATGTCTGTACCTGTCAGTAGCCTGACTAATTCAGTACCTTCTGTAGTTTTGCCGACAAACTATTTCTGTATTGGGTATATGATGGCAGCCAAGCGTGCTTGCTGTTGGGGCTCTGTCCGCTGCCTTGTGGTGCCCGGCCAGCCATAATAATGGGTGCACGTGGACAACACTTGTTCGGCTGCCTGAGCAGGGCTAACAAGGTGGGGGGGAGGCGGGGCATTATCTTTTTAGGTGAAGAGAGTAAAGAGAGACGTGTCGTAACATTTTCATTCTTGCATGCCCATCCCAGCGGCAAGCACACAGTCTTAATGTGCGTGCGTATTTACCATAGCCGTGTGGTGGTTCACATGTGCAGTGGCCTAGCCATCGGGTGTGCAGGCGGTGTAACTGCACCAGGGCCCCATGGGCTTGAGGGTCCCGGGCATTGGGCTACGATAGAGGGGGGGAAATAAGATGGGGTGGCCAGGGTTGGGGGGCAGAGGGGGATCCACTTCCTTCATTGCACAAGTGTCTATCCAACAACATGATGCATCACTGCACATGTGAATGAGTTGATGCTGTCCAGGGGCGTCTAGAGTGTTGTAGGATGGCCATTGTGAATTTGAAGTTGAGATGCGGTTTTGATTGTGTTATAGATAGGGGCCCACACGAAGGTAGTGGTGAAACTGATAACGTCAAATTGTCTATGACGTGAGGTTCAAAATACAAAGGAAATATTTAACATAAAGGTGGCTGGGATAGGGGCACAGTCATTGCCTCAGACCTAAAGTTCAAACCTAAATCTGCCTCTGAAGAGGGAAAAAAATGTGCACTTTTTGTTCAATTCTCGTCTTTAATGACGACACGAAACACCATGAATTGGTATTTTTAAATCCTTTATATTAAGTTTGCTTGCTTGCTTGCACGCTTACGACCGTGCAAATCTTTCGGTCGTTTTTTAACCCACTTCCCGTGATCCAATCAAGCTGATATTTTGCACACAGACTCGTTGTGCGTGACAATTTATTTTCGTGAAAATTTTTTTCCAAAATTTTCAACATTTTAGGAAAAAAATGTTTATATTTAATTACCAATTGCTTAATGGTGGCAGGCAATCATCTGACCCATAGGTGGCAGCCATCTCAAGCCAGAGGACGAGAGGACTCTAGCTGCCCGTTTCAAAGACCAATGTGGGCTGGGTTGTGGCCCATTGAACACGTACTGTAATTTATTTGCCACGCATATAAAGGATTTATAGTGAAAAACTTTTTTTTTACGGGTTAATTTTTTACTGAATTCAGCTTCACCCAGTACAAAAGATGCAAAAAAATATTATTTGTCTTCGACAGAAACATGCACAAGCCTCAGTTTATTAAATGTGCCTTGTAAACAGCTGGTTTAAAAAAAAAACCTGAGTAAGTGTATTACGATTCTTGATGGATAATGATATCCTGAGGTGTCGCCTGCCGGATTGTTGTGTCTCTGCTGTCATTGGACGATTTGATCCGTCTGATACTTTACGGTGACGCTGTTCGGCGACTGCGCGTAGCATAATTGTATGGAAAGAAAGTATTGTGCTGCTGCGGTTGAAACTCGCACGGCACATAGCGAAGCCGTAAGCTTCCACCCACAGACAGCCCACACCCACAGGTTAAATAGGCTGAGATGTCATTAAGGGGTGGGTCTTTCTGGGTTTTTTTTGCTTCTCTCCCTCGTCTTAAACAGGCAAGGAGCGAAAACCAGTTCTGCTGCTCCGACAACAAGGAAGTCATTAATGGGACCTATTTATTTTTTTACACGTTTCTACACGAGACGAGTTATCCCGAGCCCTGCCAGGAGTGCGGGTAGGATGCGAGTGTGCGTCTGAGCGTGCGAGCCGTGTACGTGTGGTGGTGCTTGCTGCTGTTTCTCCGCTGACCAAGTTGTTTCGATTTCTGTCTCTCTCTCGTCCCGCAGCTCGACAGATGACTCTTTTCACTGGCGAACGTCGGGTAAGATAGCCTCGTGCGTGCACGCACGCCACGGGCTTCATGTTACTATACAACACGCGCACGCACGGGCACTTCTACGTTTTTGTAATACCAAGCGTGCGTTTTGTTTACTTCATACGTAGGTCTTAACGATCGATATTACGATTCGTAAAATGGTGGGGGGTTTTTTTGGTCGGCTCATGTAAAAATGTGCGTCGTAAACCCTCCTCCACCCCACACAGCCAATTTATTAACATGTCGCTTGAATCAAACGTGCCATGTGTATTACTGCTTCAGCACACTGCCGGCGTTGATGTTGGAGTGTAATCTCACAACGTTCAAATGAATAACGACACCTCGCTGGAGATTACATTCGGCCTCGTCAGGTTGTTAACAGGAGCTCAGATCTCAACCTGATGATGCTGGATGTAATCTCAAGCGAAACGTTGTAGCCCTTTAAATGTTGTGAGAGGGGGCTGTCCAACAGCAACACCGGTGCTGCTGCTGCTGAATCATTAATAGATTTGGCCAAATTTTTATTCACGTGACACTTCTATTAGTTGGCTGTGTCTTGCACTTTGTATATAGCCCCTAAGGCAATCATACGTGGCTATTTAGAATGCATGGTGTTTTCAAACCTTGTAAATGCACAGTCAAGTCAAGTTTACTTGTTTAATCAGGCGAGAGCTCGAGACCTGGATGAGTCATTTGCAAGCGTCACCGCCAGCGTTGCATATTTTGTCATTTTAGAAGCGTTCAAATTGTCCGGTATTATAGTGGCGGGGAGGTGTAACTGTGTACGTGTTTTGGATGAACGGTGCCGATGTGTCGGCCAGGGCTGTGCAATGTGAAGTTTTGCTTGGGTTGTGACACTTGCCGCGATTGCACAAACGGCACAGGCCCCGTCACACATTAGCAGCGTGAGGTTTATCCGTGTGGTGTACAGCCGTGATGTGGTGGTTCATGCACTTTGCTATGAACTCGGGAGACCCGAGTCCCATTCCTAACCATGGCTAACATCAGTGGCCAGTGATATCTAACTTCACCCGTCTTGGACCCTTGTGATGTATGTATGTTGGACTTATTTTACACTGTATGTAGCCAACTATGCTCATCCGAGGTGTGGGGGAAGGACAACAATTTATGCTCAACAAAAACCGCTATAATCAACAAGCCATGAGGAGGCCTTCATCCAGCAGTTGATTGACAGAGTTCCAAATTATAGATTTTTTAAATATCCTGGAAGTAATTAAACGTCAGTATGGCTCTTTTGTGTCCATTTGGGAAAAGTCTAGCCGTAGCAAAGTGTAAAATTCTCGTACTCGCACTGTCCCACGCCCCCACCCCCTTTCCATATTCACCGAACTGCAACCTCGACCACATTCACCTTTATTCTCCATTAAAGTGCAATTTAAGTCATTATACATTGCACACATCTGGCGGTTGTCAACGAAACAAGTAGCATGGTAGGGTGCGAGGGGTGATTATGAAACCCTAGTCTTTGGGGGTGACTGTCACATTCCTTGCTTTAGCCTTTATTATCTCCATACCTTTGCCCATCTACACTCAAACCCTTCCCTCACTGTACCTTTCTTACCCATTGTCTGCCTCGGCATGTAACATCCAACTTCCCCCTTGTTCTCGATTTGTCCTTCTTGCTTACACGCCTGTTATATATCTATTTGTCTGTCCACGTGAGAAGGTGTTTGTTCCGTGTGGTGTCACTGTGTGTCTGGAAGTTGCCATGTCTTCTTTTTATTGTTTGACGTTTTCTGTCCGTTTGTCACTTGTTCTGTTTTTCCTCCTCGAGCGAGTCTTGTTTCCATCTCTGCATCTGCGGCTTGTAATATTATTCAGTATAAACCCCAATAATTCCCACCCTTCACCTGTGTTATGATATGCATTGTGATGGTGACCCCCTGACCTTTAACAAAGCAATCCCAGCCAAAGCGCCGTCACTGGTCTCTCCCGGAAAACGGAATCTGGGCCGATCAGAGACCTCAAGAGCCATCTCGGCCACACAATAACAGTGTCTCTGAGCATCTGGGACCTTGATCCTTCACCTCTTGGCCTGGAAAGCAATTGTCGGTACAATATTGAGCCTGTGAGCCATCCTTTTAAATTCCGCCGAGATTTGCGAGTGCGTTGCGAGGTGTCATGAGTGAGCCTTCCACCTCAACTCTGAATGGATACGGGCAGTGACTGAATGCTTTTGGGGACTTGGCTCAACCAATATTCCACCTGCTTAAGAAATGACTGAGGAAATAACCAGTTATCTCCGTAGCCAAACAACCGACTAACCAACTTGCGAAACCAATCACCTAACATCACCAAACGAACATAACAATACTGTACACGAATTAGCTATGCAGCGTACCACCCCAACTAATTAAACAAAAATTGGTGTACACAGATTAGAACTTGTGTTCATTTCTTCCAGAGAGCAAAGGGCCTAAATGCACGAGCTTCTCAGTGGCATTGCTGTGACGAATCTCCTATTTGATCGAAGCTTCTCAGACTCAAGTGCTCAGTCCACAGCAGTCCCGCAGCTTTATATTTTTGACCGAATGCCATGTCCATTGTATGAAAGCTTAATTCACATTCAGAGGGAAGAAAACTGGTAAAATAATAATTTTAGCTAATTAGTATTCATGCCATTCTCATTACGAGTAATTTTGCGCATTTGGACTGTGGCCGAAGGGCTCCAAGTGCGAAACTTTGCAATGAGCAGCGCAAACGGGACTACCCCTCGGCCACGTCGCCTCCGTAGCGAAGGAGGAAAAGCACAGACTGTAGAGGAGAGAACGACGATTTTGTTTGAACAACACTCCTTGTGTGTGTGTGGCTTAGTGAATGGTGGAGTGCCCAGTTGTAGTCGATGTTTGAACGAGACGTTTAACAATTAGCCAGCCACCCTCTTCTGCCCCCTCCCGCCCCCCATTGTCAGCACTTGATTTGATGCATTGTCGTGATTCGAGGACATCCATTTGATTTAGGAATCGGTTATCTTGTATATTCCAGGTGAATAGCACCTGTGGTGGCTGCAAGTTACATACAACAATCGGGCATGATTCGTGAGATTCATGTCTGATTGATGGACCATTGCATGAGTTAGATGTCTAGTTTTAATATTGCACGAGTTCTTTGTTATTACAGACTTACCCTATATGCAATATCTTTAATGTTCCCATTGTATCATCGGGCTGTATTTAATTGAAAGTAACACAAACACTTTGTGGTAATTATGTAAAGTATTAATCTCCCATGCTTATCGGAGATGCACTGTAGGTGGAATTATGCCAAATCAGGTGCAGGCTCTTAAATGAGACAATAAACACAAGTTCTGTCTTGTGTGGACATCACATTTTATGGCGTTCTTTGATAAGCGCAGGAGTTACCCCCCCCCCTCTCCCCCGTATTGTGCCCACATTTCATCCCACGAGAAGCAGTGTTTGTCTCTATTGTCGTCCCACTAGATCTAAGAGCACTTGAAATGACCTTTGTGTCTGTGGAAAGGGAAAATAAATCCTCTCCATGCAGCCTTGCACTTGGATTATGGCCTCATAATGGAAGAAACTTTAGGGCTCAGTTGTAAGCCGCTTTTCACTATGCTCGTCCAGTCCCAATTGTTTCATTCACACAGGTGAAACAGTGGCTTCCACAAACCCCATTAGCTCGTGAACACATTTAACCAATAACACAAGCTTTGTAAATAGCCTTGGCATAACAAAAATACAATTAAATACATAAAAAGTAAATATTTTATTGAGTTTTCACGTAATTTTGTTCCCACTAAACAGGCTCCTTTGCCACTAACATCATTTAACCTAGCAGCAGTTTGTTTTAAACAGGCCTGACTGTGCTGCTGAGATTCATAAGGTTAAAAACCAGGCCAGATGTTTATTGCTTGAAAAAAGTTGCCGTAGAACATTGATCAAGAAAGCCCCATCATAACTTGACAGACAAAAAAAAAATTAATTTATTTTACGTGGCGAAGAGAGGGATTTCCAGTCTGTTCATTATTTGGTAATTGAAAGAGGGTTAGATGAAAGAAAGACACCGGGTGGTTGTGTTATATTGACGGGGGCATATGATTGGTAAAAGCGAAGGCCCCCATCATCAGTCAAAAAATATCCTGAAGCAGAAGATTAGTGCTGGATGGATACAGTCACATTTGCAAATGTGATTTGTAACTTTGATCGTTACCTATGTATTGATAGTTCAATGTTAATGTGCAATTTTATTGAGGGACTCCTACTGTGTGGTGTTGTCTTGGTGTAGTCTGGGACTGTTTTGTTGTTGTTGTTTTTGCTGCCTTGCCCAATCTTGATAAATCACACTTATATAAAAAAACATGTATTTATATTTAGTGAATTGCTTACCATTTTCACTCCTATCGTTTGTAATGTTTACCTTTGTAACTTTCTGACGCACCGATGCTGGACATCTGTGAAAAAGAGCTTCACAGCTCATCTGATTCCTCCTGCAGCCTAAAGAAATATTCTGACTTTGATTCCGATAAGTCGTGGGCGGCAGCAGTAAGGGAGGTTTTGGTGTGTGCCGTGAATTCCGACCACCCAGCGTGGGCTGGGAAGTGTATCACTCAGTCCTCTCCCCATGCCAGCCCCCCCCCCCCCCCCACGTCTTCCAACTCATGGTTCGTTCTGCTACGAATGCCGAAGGTTGAAAAGAATGCATCACTCCTTTCATATCTGGTGATATAAATAGAATGAGAAGAAAAGAGAAAGAAAACAAGTGTTCTTGAAAAAAGTCAGGCCACTTATTTGTGCAGGGTATATGCTGTGATAGGAAATTCAGTACCGGACTGTGCCATGTGCTTTTGGCCACAATGGCTCTGTGGTATACATTTCTTTGTTGATAGTGATGCTACCTAAATGCACTGTTTTGTACACGTATCTGTATAGGAAATGAAACTATGCATACACACCTTCACGCCGATATTATTAACCCTGTCGTGTTATTTTTTGGATGTACCAGACCCCATGGCGCTAACACATAAGACGTTAGCTTGAACATGAAACCACAGCCAGGAAACTCGTGTGAATAAATCTTGGCAAACGCGATGTGGCATTGTATTGTGGTAAAAGTGTGGCTTAGGCAGGTTGGTGAGCAAAATTAATTTATAGCAAGTCAGATTGCCATTGAGGTAATATTTCACTTTTGGGCTTGCCGTTGCCCTCCGGAAAAGCTAAGCGGAGGCACTTCCATTCAGTGCAACATAGATTATAGTTGTTTTATAACGATGCCAACATCGTAAAATTATGTCGTAAAATGCCACCGGCACAGCTTTTGACAAATCATAACGCCCTCGATTTTATGCAGAATCGTCGTTCACCAGAAATGACCTGTGCCTGCTTGGTCTGCTGCTATTCCGTTTGTGGATGAATGAACCATAGCTTTCTCTAAAAGGGGCCTCCAGCCAATCGTATGCACGTATCCTTAGTCACCTTGGTTTTTCCTTCACTCAGTGAAACTTGCTCGGGGGAAAAATAAAAAGTTAAAACCAGAAATCAATGGGTGAAGCCTATTAATAAGTTTTCTTCAGCGGGACATTTTTTTTTTAGGTAAGTGTCCATTAATGTATGCTTCCCTTAACTATTTATATATCCAGATATATCTGACTGTTTAACAGTGTTTTATATTTTTAAATACTTTATATTAAGTTCACTTGCTTGCGCGCTTACGACCATGCAAATCTTTCGGTCGTTTTTTAACCCACTTCCCGTGATCCAATCGAACTGACATTTTCCACACAGACTCGTTGTGCGTGACAATTAATTTTCGTTAAAAAAAATTTCCAAAATTTTCCACTTTTTAGGAAACATTTTTTATTATATTTAATTACAAATTGCTTAATGGTGGCAGGCAATCATCTGACCCATAGGTGGCAGCCATCTCAAGCCAGAGGACGAGAGGACTCTAGCCGCCACGCATATAAAGGATTTATAGTGAAAAACTTTGTTTTTACGGGTTAATTTTTTAGATATGGACTACCTCACCTGGTATCCAGGAGGGTCGTGGGTTCGATCCTGACCCTGACACCTGCTGTATATTTGGAGTTTGCATGTCCACCCTGTGGTCGCTTGGATTTTGTTCTGGTCTTCTGGTTGTTCCTTCCACGTTTAAAATAATCTATTTGGCTGTAATAAAATAATAAAAATAAAACATAATAAAACAATTCTCACGACGTTTCGGCCACAACGCAAGCAGCCGTCCTCAGGTGAAAACCAGGTCCGTCGAGGCGACAGAGTCTGAATGAAACAGCACACGGGCTTAGAGCATATATATAAGCTGGGCGCATTGACAAAGGAATTTGCATATCAACAGGAATTTAGCATATTTATGGGAAATGCAGGAATGTAATTAGTACTGCATATGCATGTGCATTATGCAGGATTAACAGCATCAAAGGGAGCTGCAGTTACTGCTGCTGCAGCAGTTGCTGCTGCTGCTGCAGTTTCTGCTGCTGCTGCAGTTGCTGCTGCTGCTGCAGTTGCTGCTGCTGCACTTGCAGCAGCAGCAGCAACTGCAGCAGCAGCAGAAACTGCAGCAGCAGCAGCAACTGCTGCAGCAGCAGTAACTGCAGCTCCCTTTGATGCTGTTAATCCTGCATAATGCACATGCATATGCAGTACTAATTACATTCCTGCATTTCCCATAAATATGCTAAATTCCTGTTGATATGCAAATTCCTTTGTCAATGCGCCCAGCTTATATATATGCTCTAAGCCCGTGTGCTGTTTCATTCAGACTCTGTCGCCTCGACGGACCTGGTTTTCACCTGAGGACGGCTGCTTGCGTTGTGGCCGAAACGTCGTGAGAATTGTTTTATTATGTTTTATTTTTATTATTTTATTACTTCCCTTCTACGTGACTTTACCGAAAGAACCAAGAAGATGAATCCCTGCAGTCACGAAAGCTTTAAATCGAAATCTATTTGGCTATCATTTGTGGCCGGGTTGCATCTGAAAGAGAGCTATACAGGCTCATTGGGCCTTACGTGGTGAAATAAAAAAATAGTTTTTGGTTTAGTTTCAATTTCCGTAGGAATAGTCAATTAGCTGTTAGGCCTCGTTTCATGGGCATCCTGTGACGGTACAGGTGCTATGCTCTATATAGGTAACACACATTATGCCGAGAACAGTATTCGGGTAAAAAACGTTTGTTATTCTCAGTGTTTTCACATTCTACCACAGCAAGCCAAACAGGAATACTGAAAACATCAACAACATGCAATGTAATTTGACACGAAGTGAAAAATATGACAAAAGATGACATTTGACGTAAAATAAATGCAAGCGCAAGCTGCGCCTAATGATTTATACATCACCACGCGTAGTCTTTGGAAATAATTGACACCTTGGAAAAGTCAGTTCCCATGTTTCAGCAGTATTGTTATTTAAAAACTTCAATATGTGGGCAGAATACATTTGGAGGTATTGTTAAGTGTTACGCAACAATTTTTTTCTCAGTTGGGAATGCCCTTTCAATTGGACATAATAAAGCAAATTGCTTCCTTCGGTGAAAATATGCACACTTGAAAAGACCAACAATATGTATTTATATAGCATGTATATATGCACAGCGTTATATGTTTTATGTATTTGAGTGATTACTGGAGCTGAGAATCCAGCGGTTTATTAAATCCTCATCATCTCTCTCCACCCAACAGAATAAATGGGTACACTCTCGTCAATCGGCAGGTTTCATTTGGTGGGGCAAATTGTAGGTACTGCCACCTCTTCCAAAACTTTGGCCAGCATGTCAGAGTAGGCCTTTAGAGGAGGCCTTTAGGGGAGGCTTTAAAGCCTCCTCTAGTTAAGGCCCTCCCACCAGCAGTGGTACGAGCAAGCAATTGCAGAGTTGCACCTCTGTCTCTTTGTTTGCACCTCTATCGTTTACTTTGCTGATGATAAGACCCCGGATGCCTTGAGCCCACCACGTTAGAGACCTGGGCTTGAAGCATCAAGTCGGCGCCTCGGATTAAAACGGTTCTCATGGTCCGTGGGTATGATGGTCTTATTATGTTTATTGGGGGATTTCTTTGCTCTGAGGGTTGGGTTTTCAAAGGCAGATATGGAGCAAAACATCAAAGAATCTGCAGTGTTAAAGAATGGTCTCTAGAAGATAAGTATAATGGTTATTTAAAAAGATATTGGGAAAAGCCCCACAGTGTGTCCTTCCAAGGCTGTTCCCAGTTGAAATTAAGAGTTTGCTACCTGTAGTTGCCAGGCATTGAAATGAAAGACTGTATTGTTATTGTGGTTTACTCGGGCTTAAATTAGATATAATTGGCGTGGGGGAAAAAAATCCCATAAGCAACATTCCATCTGAAGCGTTACATATGAATTCATTTTTTTCTGCTTGATGTTTTATTTATTTACTGCGTTTTGGTTAGCAGGTCAGAGGCAGCACGGATACTTGGTTGCCCATTCTTGCAGAAAGTACATTTTATGTTGAATGAGCCGCATGTCATGCAGTGAAGCTCGGTGCAATGTTTCACTCTAAGTGCCCCACTAAAAGCATTGAAGAGTGAGGTTAAACAGTGACATTTGCGTGTTAACATGCATTACATGGGAAGGTATAAATGGAGGAGTTGGCACATTCGCATCTGGTTATGCCGCATGTCATTTGCGTCCATGCATTGTTTGTCCCGTGTACTCATTTGCATGCAATTAATGATTAGTTTTTTTAAGTTGGTGTCTGAATGGCTGTCACCCCGGTAATGTAAAGGACCGTTAACACTATACCAGTGGATACGAGGTGTGATTCCTCGTCATGACAGATTAAAACGCTTTGACTTAAATTTGATTGAGCGCAATTGACTGCCCACCCATTATTGAAACTCTTACTACTCCAGAGAGACACTAGCAACCGTGGGTGGTACTGGGTCTCACCTGCTCAAACTGTGTCAAGCTCAGCCTTAATGGAGGCCACTGATAAAACAACGCCTGACCCGAGCCACAGTTAATGCTTGGGCACAAGGTGCCTGTTGTTTGAGTTTTGCCCATGTGTGCATGTGTGTAACTCAGTGCGTGTGTGTGTCTGTTAAGGCTATACGGGGGATCTTTGTCTTTGTAGCGGTTAGCGCGCAGCGCTACAAACCTGGTGACCCGAGTTCGATTCCCGCTCGCGGCCAACATCAGTGACTATTATTTGAACCGGTCCTGGGCCTCCCCTACGTCGACTCGGCCTCAAATGAGTACCCAGTGCGATGTGTAAACATCGCCACTCAGGAGGCAAAAGGTGATCGGTTGTGGTCCTGGCCACCCACCCCCTCGTGTACCGTTCCAGCCTTCATATGTGCTCGCTAGCAGCACTTGCCCCAACAGTCTGTTAAGGCTAAACGGAGGATCTTTTTTCTTTGCCCTTGTCTGTGTACCTTTGTGCCTGTGTGTATGTCTGCTTGCAAATCTGTGTGTGTGCCTCATATGTATATGCCTGTAAGCCCGTGTATTTCCTATGTCTGTTTGTGTGTGTCACTATGTCCATGCGTGTACTTGTATGTGCCTTTATGGCTGGGTGTGTGTGTGAAGCTCTGAGGGGTTGACGTGCTGCACCACGCCATGTTTAAAATTAATTTTGAGCGCTGTTATAAACCAGTCCTGGATTTTTACACTTTTAATGTGTACCGGGCATGGTGTGTACACATCAACACCGAGGAGATTAAAACAGTAGTTATGTCCATCTCATCCCCTCATGTGCCATCGAGGCCCTTACAGGTGCCCGCTAACAGCACCTGCCCCACTAATTTGGAAAAGCTACATGGGTGGTCCTTTTCTCTTGTGTGTTATAATAAATGCAGACGGAGCGACTGGGGAGCTGAGCGAGGATGAGGGTCGGGTAAGCGTGGGCTCGGAGCTGGTCGACTCCTGCCTCCGTGCCCTGCAGGAGAGGGGTCTCTTCGAGGGGCCTGATCCCTTGCACAGTGAGTGGTACCTCTCCCCTGCCCCCTCCCCCCCCCCCCAGTGGGATTCTGTATTTTCAAATTGTGTCTGTGTGGGTGAAAAGCGCACTTCACTATAAACCCGGTGACCTGAGTTCAATCCCCGCTCAGCACTTGTCCCTAACAGTCTGTAAGGCTGTACGGGGGAGCTTTGTCTTTTTGTGTATGTGTGCTATTCAAAGATGAAGATCACCCTGGTGGCCATACAGACCGTTGTAAAATGTATTGTTGGAAAGCGCCTGTTAAGGCTGGAATGGTACATACATTTAGATTGAAAATAATTTCTTTAGAACTGCGTTTTGCGTTAGTTTGTTGTCCTTCCCCCCCACCTCCGATTATGTACAGTGCGAAATAAGTTAAACATTCAGTACACACAGAGTCAGCGTGGCCACAGTCCCACTCAGCTGTCTTTGCCCAGTGCTGATGTTTTTATTTTCTCCTGCACGTAGATGATCGGACCTTATGTGTACGTATATCTTTGATCTCCTTCATCCACGCATTATCTACAGATATTAAATATTTTTCAAATGGAAATCGTTGACCTTCATTTGTGACGTGTAAATTGAAATTGCTCGCACATTCCGTGCTTACATCATCAGATGTTTCCGCTTGAAAGTTACGTTGGTGGCACATGAGAAACGATTTAGCGCAAGATATGTCGAACAGCGAGGATGTGTAAATGTCTACACAAAAACACAAATGATGAAAAAAAACCATAACTAATAATAATTACATGGCCTCATGGTAGCACGTTCACCGCTTGTTGCAGAGGTTCACAGTTCGAATCTAGTGGCCACTCTGGTTATTACTGCGGGTGTGTAAAACAAAAAACAGAACGTTGTAGATCCCGTGATGTCATTCGCAAGAGGAGGCTATTGTGGGCTGGCATCATGCTCCAATTTGAAAAGTTAACCTGCAAAGTACTCAATGGGAATGCACACAGCAATCATCGCCCCATACTGCAAAAAACTTGGCAGGAAAAAGAGTCCTGAAATTCAGTGAGGCTCTCTTGGGTAAACATGAATAGTACAAATAATACTATTAATGATATATTTTTTAATGAAGAAGACAAACACTTGTATACATAGTGTTTGTACTCCGACCTCTTCTTAGACGTCTGGCCAGCATGGAAGAACAGGCCAGATGCCCACTAAAAGTGCTGTCTAGAGCTCCCTCTATTGGAGACCCTTAGACCAGCAGTGGCACGAGCAAACATTTCTCTTTGGTTCTTTCGGTAAAGTCACGTATAAAGAGAAAATAACTAAATTAAATACTAGTAAAATTAATATAATACAATTTATTATTTTCTCTTTATACGTGACTTTACCGAAAGAACCAAAGAGTAACTCCTGCAGTCACGAAAGCTCCAAATTAAGTTACGAGCAAACATGTTCAAGGGCTGCAAGCCCGTACATTACGATGACCAACTCCTTTGTAATTTGTTTCCCTCTCCGGTAGAAGGAGCGGTGTCATCCAAGTTGAACTCGTCTCCGGACAGCTGCTACCAGGAGACGGGCAGCTACCAGACGAGCAGCCACACGGGGGCCCAGTCACTCTCCCAGACGCTGGCGGGGGGCGGGTTCCAGGCGGGGGCGGGCGCGCAAGCGACAGCCGCGCCCGAGGACAGCGGCTCGCGCACCATGCTGACGCACAGCTTGTCCGCTCAGCAGCCGCAGCCGCAGCAGCAGCAGAATGTGTACACGCAGCAGCAGCAGCAGCAGCAACGTGGCGATCGTGCACACGCTTACACACAGGCACGTGTCACATCCGCGTACACACGAGCGTGATAACCACGCCACTCTGAATCGTTGTTCCGCGGTGAAGTTTCTACAATGCGGGCTCCTCACTTTTGTGTTTGTCACCCAGTGACAATGACCCAGCGGTGGAATACCCAGATAATTTAACGTGGTTCTTGTAGGGTTCCGTTTGGAGAAAGGGATAATGGGCTTGGGGACATAACTGTCTCTGTCTGTAATAATAAAGTGATATTTATTTTGTGAGGGGCAGCCGGGAGCAAAGCATTTTTTCGACACCTCTCTTTCCTACGCTGTGCATGTCCCTTGCGCCAAGCACCGCATGAAGAAAGCTGAAATTGGCACCCAGGTGTTCCCGTTAGCTATCCGACACTTCTTTACCTGTAGAGGTTTTCATAACTATAATAAGACCCCATCTCTATTTGTCATAGTTTATTGTAATGGCTTTACCTTTGTGAGGAATGTGTTTTCATATCATTAGCGGGGAGTTTAAGTTCTTAAAAAGAAAATGTCAAGTAAGATAATTTTAGTAATTCATACATTTTCAACGATAACAAAGCGGTGTAAATTTTATATTTTTTAACTTTTGGACTTTTACTTTTGTAATTGTAAAAAGAAAACCTTTAGTTTAAAGCGAGGACTACTTTTGCATATTTTTTAATTAAAATTTAACATTTTGTTTTGTTCAGCTTATGCGGATGTACGACCTGAAGACGCGTGGCAACGCCGAGCGAGACTATGAGACCTTCGCCCCAAAGCGCTCCGCGTCACTGCCCCCCAACCGAGAGCCTCCGTACGGCACCGTCATCGGGACGCACCATGGAGCGGGGCACAGCCACGGCGGGATGCCCCGTTCGGCGCACACACTGGTGCACGTGCCGTACGGATCGCCAGGCCCCGGCGGGGGCAGCCCAGCTCAGCGAGCCGACATGTACGTTGGCAAACGAGCGGCCGCTCCCTCAGCTGGATCGGGAAACTACTACTGGCTGTCGTACCAGAACAGCCGCTCGGCAGCGCCGATGGCGGTGGGCTCGCCAAACCACGCATCTCCCGCGTCGAGCGCCGCCTCCCCGCTCGCGGGCCCTGCTGCAGCTTACGCCCGGTCATCATCGCAGTCGCCGCCGCTGCTGGGCGGCTACGGGAACTCGGTGGCTTCTAGCAGTGGCGCGCCGCCGCCGGGATCGGCCATGACGCATCACCACCACCATCACCACCACCAGCAGCAGGTCCAGCAGCAGCAGCAGCAGCTGGCCAGGTCATCCTCTCCATCGTCGCAGGCGTCGCCAGCGAAGCGGACACCGGGAGGCTCGGACCGGCAGAGCCCAGAGCGGGTGGATCGGCAGAGGCCTGGAAGCCTGTCTGGTGAGCGACGAGCACCAGCATCGTGTCTCTGCCAAATATATTGCCTCGTGACTAGACATGTAGGATACGACGATGGTGCAATGGTTAGCATATTGAACTTGCAATCCAGCAGCATTATAAATGCGTGGTGGGATAAAGTAGCAGGTACTTTCACCTCTTCCAAGATCTCTGACCGTCATGGATGAGTTTGTCAAAATACCATTTACAGGGGAGCGACTGTGGAGTTTCCATTCGTGAAGGGCCATTCTGCCAGCAGTGACACAAATAAGAAATTGCAGAGCTGCACCTTTACCCTTTTATTTTTACTTGACATGGTGACAATTCAATCCCCTCCCTCCATATGCAATGATTTAATAAATGGTCATAGTTTAGGTTTATGACTTAATCCAATAACCTATAACTTGTTATTCCATTTGTATTGTTCCTCATGATTTTCTGACTCGCCAGTACAGTTTTGTTTGTCCCATTAGTCAGTCTAAGTAAATATTCTGATTTTGATCAAGATTCTGATTTGCATTATTTTTCATATCATAGCATTTTTCATCGATCCCAATTAATCTTCAATATATGCAGCTTGACTGAAAGAATCAATAGATGAACCGATGCATTGTTACATGTCTGAACGCTGCAATGATAGAAATCAAACAGTCAATGCAGGATATTGGGGGAGCGGCCGTGTGGTGGTTAGCGTACTGCGCTACAAGTGACCCGAGTTCGATTGCCACTCACGGCCAAAGTCGGTAACGAATATGTGAATCGATTCTGGACCTTCCCTAGGTCAACTCGGCCTTAAATGAGTACCCGGTGCACTGTGTTAACATCAGCACTGGGGAGAGAAAGGTGGCCGGGCGTGGTGCTGACTACACATATACACACCCTTCTCTGCCGTACTGGCAGCACTTAGCCCAATAGTCCCTTGCAGCTATATGGGGAGGGTTGGGCTGTGGTTGTTGTCTTTATCTTTGACATGTGTGTGCGCGCGCTTGCCTATGGCCCGTTCAGGTCTCAGGGGATCTTATTCAAGCCAGCAGGGAGCGGGGACAGAGGTGCGCTACGTGACGTCGCCCGATCGCCTCATCACTCCGATATATGAAGACCAGGTTTACCGAAGTCCCGAGTCTGCGACGCACACCATCTCGCGCGCCCGCTCCCCACCCGACTACGCCGTGTACAGCACCGCGGCGTCATCCGGTAAATCTGCGAGACCCCGTGCGTGCATCCGCAATCGACACATCGCCTGGCTTTGTGCGGACAGAATACGCAGCTCTCCAATGGGGTTCTGAGTTACTCCGCGTGTCTTTCGGCATGATGTCCACAACCGTGATACCCTACGCAGAGGAATATTCACTTGTTAGCGAATGGCTTTAGAAAAGTCTGTCCGAACAATTTCTGAACCACTTAATTTGCTCTCGTTAGCCACACGGTAGGAATGCCTTTTCATATTCTGAGCAAATAGTGTTTGTTGTTTGAAGTAAATCAAATCAAACATTTTAATCATCAGAGCTGTAATGAAAGGAATTAAGTTAAAAACAAATTTAATGATGTGTTTTTTTTCTCGTGAAGTCATTGGTGACTGAGCTGAGACCATCAATGCACTTAGATTACAACTGAGTTTATCCTTTCAGTGATAAGGGGCCATCCATTTAGTACGTACGCAAAAATCTTGACCCCCTCCCTGTACGCACGTGTACTTTTTACACCCTCCCCCACCTGCGTACGTACGCCTGACGCACCCCCCCCCCCCCCGAATCCGATAGAGCGGCCGATATTGAATCCACGCAGAAACGATCAAGGATTAATAATATTAACGTGTTTAAGGAAACACAGTCCACCGCCGGACTATCTAACTCAGTTGAAGGCCAACGTAGACAAATTTATTATCGAGGCTTCACCCCCCCCCCCCCCCCCCCGTTTCCTATGCGTACATTGTCAGTAGAGCTCCCATACGCAAGCGCATGCATTTGGGTTAACCCCCCCCCCCCCCCCATGCGTACGTACTAAATGGATGGCCCCTAACCATGGGTTGTAACCATGGGTTGCCACCAAGATTCAAACCCTGATCTCAGCATTGCCTACTCGGTGCATTGACGTGAAATGATTCCCGTGAGCCACCAGGCCAACGCCGCAGTGCAACTTCAAAACGTGTGGTCCGCGTTGTCTTGTTTGCATGCAAATTGAGAAGATTGATGTTTGTGACAAAATTAACCACATGGATATAAATACGAGGGCTGGAGCTAATTGAATTAATGCGGTCATTTTCGAGGAAGCAAATATGTCAGGAGACAACCCACGCATACAAGGGGAGAACAGTCGTAATACACAACCATAAATCCGAATCCCGCTTACTATACTGCTTTCTTTGTATAAATCTCAATACCCAACGTTTAGCCAACTCCTGCACAAATATCTCTTTATGAGCCAGTAGCTCTACCTCCATATAGTTTGACATAGGCCTGTACCATTGCATCTCTGCTGTAATGTATGAAGTGTGGTAAATTTGCAATATTTGTAAAATTGGCCCGAAGCACCAGCGCGTAATATCATGTACCCAGTCCACGAAAGGGAAGCTCTCGAAAGCCCCCTCCAGAGGGAATTTGACCTACTCTTCCACACTTTCCAAACAAACATGTGAGAATACCTACATTTTACACCCTCGCATGCCAACTGCCGATCAACTAGTTGTGGTATCTCCACTTATACCGCTGCATGGACAGGCCGGGGAGGAGGGGGGGGGGGGAATTTGAAAACGTGTCCCATGCTTTTTGAATGCCCAGTTGGGAGATCGAATGGAATCGGCGACCTCTGAACTATAAGTCCACTGTGTGCTAACAATTAGACGATGACAGCAGCAAACCTAGAGACATTGCTGAAATGTATGTATGTATGATGAACTTCTTATGCACCGTACGTAGCCAAACGTGCTAATCCGGTTGCAGCAGCTGGCATACTTTGAAGATGCTGCACCGCTGCATCACTGGGAGAAGCAAATGGGAATCCTACTGACGATACTTCAATCTGCTGCCTACGCGATGAGTGCACAAACTGTGCAGCAAGAATTAATGTATACCATTCACGTGCGAACGTTACTTTAAAAAATTACCCTTGCAGTCATTCACACGCGGGTAAACCACACGCGCGCGCGTGCGTGCACTTGGTCAGGCTGATTATGCGCACGCCGCAAAGTGAATTAATTATCAAAATTAAATCCTCGAATTTTTTTGGGACTTTCTCATTATTTACGGCGAGGTGCGTTAATCCTTCCAGTGATATTGCATCCCCGCTAGCCCACGTAGTGATGCAGCTTGCATTATAACCAGCCCTTAATGCATGCCTAGGTCATCCTGTCGCTATCACTGAGTGCCCATCTGTCAACCTGCCTTTCCTAATGACGGTCATTGTGAGTTTTCTCTTTTACACTTTCTTTGCTTTATCCAACATTTTTAGAAGTGTGATATTATGTCAAGTGTATTATTAACCCATGGAACGTTTTGACTTGCATTTGAAAAGTTGTCAGTTTTAACCCCAGGCAGGGGGTCAACCTAGCGTAGATATCCTCATGGGGTCAACAAGGTTCAAGTTCATTTAATAGGTATAGCCCTGTGAGCCATTCGGCTCTTGAATCGGGTGCAACCGCAACAAACAAAAAACAAAAACATGAACAAAAAACATCTTAAAGTCAATATGTGACTGAGTGCAATAAGAAAATCCAAAAAAAGACAGCAAAATATTGCAGAAAAAGCACCGTACACCAACACTGTGTGCAAAAATCCCAGTGGGATGCAAGTCAAACAACAACAACCACAAGACAACTTAGATTAAGGCCATCAGTCTAACTCTGTACTACAACAAACAAACATGGCCAAACCAAAAAACTTTTCGAAAATCACCAAAATAAAGCCATAAAAGCAATGAAACAGTGGTCATAGGAACAAGGTGAGTGCCAGTTTGTAGGAAATCATCACTGTTCTACTGATAGACTTGTCCCCACCATGGGCATGTGGAGTTTCCAGCACGGACCCACCAACAGAGGAGAGTGCTGCCCCATTACCCGTAGAAATTTGAAAAGACGTCGACATTTTTGTGACTTTAGTGGTAACCGATATTTTGTTTTAAAATGCTCAATATATTTATCAATAACATTGCGGCCTGAAAAGAACAAGAATATATGAAAGGCGATGTTTTCAGCAATGCCCTTTCCTCATATTGCGTGTGCGATTGTCTTTTTAAAATCTATTTTTCTTTTTGAGGCAATGTTTTTGACAAATGTGAGTTTTATTGTTCGCTGTGCTTCTGTACCACTGCCAATGAAGCATCAGCAAACGATTTGTAAATTTATTGCTACGTGTTTTTTTTCACACATCGCCATAGATAACATTATTCTGACTTGTACATAACAACATTGCCTTTCTTCGCCTTAAGCACTAAATGAAGGCTCATGGCCAAACCAAATGTCATGTTTTATTAGATGTAATTTGACATCGGCAATCAGTTTTACGATAGCGTGCCACTTTATTGGCCTGCTCGGGTAAACCATGAAGGCAATGTTGTGGCCATCTCAGCTGCTCTTTGTCGAATTTACCTTCTAACTACCAAACCCCCTTCTCTTTGTTAAGCCAATCCACAGGTTGTGCTTCGGTCATGGACTTTTCACCCATTGTAATTGGTAGGTCCCAGCAGTTGCATTAATTCAGTGTCCACCTCCAGGGATATTAGTGGCTTGCGTGTGGCTTCTTCTTGCAGTTACGGAGGAATATTATGCGAAAAACTTTAACTTGTTTTAATTGAGCAAACAAAACGAAAAATTAATTGCGTAACATTGGTAAAAAAAGTTAATATTCTGCATGTAGGTTATTAGCATACCAAATCATTAAAATAATATTTTTTTATGACAGCAACACACATTTCTGTTTGCTCTCTGATAAACCCTTGCTATTTGGAAAAAGTTGGTGCATTTTCACAGAGCGCATCGCTAGAAGGGATGACTACCCATGAACGAAACTAAATGACTGCGCATGCACCACGAGAAGGGGGAGGCTCCATTGAGGGAGATGGCCGCAGGTGACGGTGATCATGAACAACAAAAATCCCAGCAGGTGTGCAGGGTGCGATGGATAGGTTGCTCCCCAAGGCTGGAGGTAGCCGTGCCATTGAAAGGAAAACCAGTCGTGCATTTCAACTCGTGAGCATGCCGGCGTTTGATTGGGATTACGGCGCAATGCTGCGACCGCTGTAGATGCCACAATGCACGATAGGCGTACACACTATAAGAGCTTATTTATATTCTGTTTAACTCGGTCGCATCAATTCCAAATGTATCTTATTTACGCGGGTAACTTTTCTGGAGCTTTTGTTGTCAAAGGATGTTGTGTATATATCAGGACGTGCACGTTTCAGTTAAGAAATAGTTTCGAACTAACTGATGTTCTTTACAATTGATCCATTATTTAGCAAGTATGCTATATAAAGGCAGGAGCTTGAAGTGATGCATAAGTAAGGATTACCTAAGTATGTAGTTTCCTGTTGGATTGGCTGGAAGATTGTGTATTTCCTTATCAAGGGGCATGGAGAGAGATGTGACCCTTCCCATCTGCGTTCTGAAGTAGATCAGGTAATGAACATTGCTGCAGCATTGGCATCCAGATACTTGCCCCTCTCTTGAGAATAAGAGTTCACGAATTAAAACGTGAAATGTGAATCTCGCTGCTTGTTTTGTTTGTTGAATACACAATCAATTGGATGCAAGTGATGTTCACTTTATGATAATAGCACGTGTTTTATTTGGCATGTGTTCTCCCAGTTACACATCATCATCCGCCATGATCTATCCAAGCTGTCACCATCACCTCATGGTCACGCAATGCAGCGATCTGTCTTTCCTGCACATGGTCTGATCCCATTGCTCCATCTCCTTGGTGGACAGGCGTATTCTGTCCGTTGGCTGCCACTCCATCATTCGTCTCGACCACTGGTCGTCATTCCTTCTATTGTTCTGCACAAATCTTCCGTGCGCGTATTTGTCAGAGATCAGATCCACGGACGCACATTCATGAAGGACACACTGCGTCAAATTGTGTTAACTATCGGCGTGTGATGTTTTATTACCGTCATTGTTTTTTTTATGCAGAAAAAGAAGGCAAACCATTTATCAATAACCATTAACCAGTTTCACCTTTATAAGTCTGAAAAGAAAAACTTTTCAACTGGGTCCTGCATTAGGACATTTGCTCTGTGTTATTTCTGAGGAGGAAGCTGGGTGCACAAAGAAAACTATGCATTGGGGGGGGGGGAAACACAACTCAAATTCACCAGTGGTGTGTCACAAATTGACCTGTAGGGTAGCGCTGTTGGGCATAATGCACCCTGGATTACCAGTAAATTTATGCTGGTTGCTTGATTGTTTGACTAGTTTATGACAGCACAGAAATAGTGGGGAGGATTAAGGATAGCAGACTAATTAATACGTGTCTTCTCATTTTTTTTAAGTGGGCGTAAAATGTATATTTTCACTATTTTTTCTGTAGTGAGGCAAGGTCATTGGCTTAAAGTGGTGCACTCTAGTAACAAATAGCAGCACATCAATAATTCACTTCTCTTGGAGCTATCTGTACAATTTCTCCGCTGTCTCTTGGGAGGGATATGTTGGTGGACGTGCGCGCGCGTGTTTCCGCATTTGCGTTTGTATCACGCGGCATGTGTCCGCGTATTGCTGCAACAATATATATGATAAATAGAACATTGTGCGTTGCTGTGTCAACAACTTTTCTATGATAAAGTCGGCAGAAGAAAAATAAAATTGGAATCCTAATAACGCCGAGGAAGAATAAATCCGTCAGTTTCCTGATGAAATGCTATCAGCTTATGGATGACTTAATTTATTTCCACTTAGCATTATGATCTCTAATAGCCTGTACTGTATCCATTCATCATTTATTTTGCCAAGCATTGGCATGCAGCAGTTTTAATTCAGAGGAAGCCATTCCTTGCACATGCGAGCATATATTCGTGGGGGTTGGGATTCAGTCTCATAGATCCTGATTTAATCCAGCATTTTCAGGTAATTCTGCAATTTTGTCGATGTCTCCACACTGGCAAAAGGTGCAATTTTCTTGAAATGATGTTGCAACCAATAATGTTTTCTGTGCTACATTTAACACAGAGTGCAACACTTAACGTGTACCATAAATTTACTTGTGGGTCTGCAACAGATTGTTTTGTCCAAAAGCAGATTTGAAATGTGTTGCTGTTTCACATGCAACACGTTCTCTGGCTGTCTTTTTATGGGCATAACGGCTGTGAACAGTTTGAAAAACAAATCTTATTAGGAAAATACATGTGCACTGTAGTTATTGTCCTCATTTTCTTATTTTTACCTAATTTACAACCCTTAAATACCTTGATATTAGAAACGTATTTACAGGCTATGCAAGCAATGTTCTTTTTGCCTACATTGCCTGCTCGGCACCTTGACATGGGCATCATTGAGTGTAATGGCTCATTAGTGTCCAACTATGTTGCAAAATGCACCTAAAAAAGTGGCAGTGTTAAGGATAGGATGCTGCGTAACAATTGAAGAATTCAGGAAAGTTACACGGGGAGAAAATTGCATCGTTTTACTTCCACTTTACTCTTGCAAACAATTTTGCCTAATAGTTTGCATTGACATGCATAAATAGGTGATTCTGGATTTTTTTTTATATCGGCCACACAGCGGCTTCAGTTGAATGTGGGCCAGTTAAACCCCCGTGGGCTGACCTGCATTATAGTTACCATCCATATGCATCGTTAGAAATGAAGTTGTGACTGCTACCGGGGCCTAGTAAGCAGTAGTCCCTTTGGGCCTGAGAAGCACAGCCAACTCGTCTGAGAATTAATAGAGTTGCTGTGGAGATAAAACGGCCGTTCAATCGGTAATGCTTGGACCTCTAAGATGTAATTCCACACAATATGTTTGGGACTGCATTGGAATTTGACATTGGAATTTTAAATTACATAATCTAACGTTTATGGCAGGGTCTCATTTTAGACCAGAATATGTTGATCCTCTTGTAATGATAAACATTCTTGATTTGAAGCTTTCGTGACTGCAGGAATCCATACTCCTTGGTTCTTTCGGTAAAGTCACGTATGTATGGAGTAAAATAAATCACAATTATGAACATGTCTGTATTTTTCAATACTAGGTTGTTGTTTTTTACAAATGAACATTATTCAAAGATGAGTGCATTATGGCTACTATACTGATTTATTTCGTAGGCTTCTGCCAGAATCTATAGTCGTGATTTTCTTTAACATTTGTTTCAGCTCGCTTAGTAATATCCAATATTATCCAGGGCAATGCAGGTATGCATCATGGAATTGTGTTGGTCTTCTCAATTCTATTGCTCGTAACCCCAAGTGCAACCAGCCTCTGCCAATCCAGCTTCTGCTTCTGACAAATTATTGTATTCGTATGGAGCATCATTCGTCCTGTGAATAATGTGAATGCACAGTACTCTGCACGTATCTCTTCATTGTTAAACATGGAATGCTGGTCAGCGGTGTGATGTCTTGTTGATGTCAGAGATGCAGTCTACTTTTATTAATCTCAAATGGCTTAGAATTATATCAGAGTGAATGCACTTGGTATGGTATGTGTGGATGTGAGTGGGGGGGGAGGTTTTACTGTATTCAGCACCCTTGCCTCCGGGTTTGGCGTTTGCTCCGTTTTGAAGCCAGCTCCATCCTCCTGCGGGACTATTATCAAACAAGCCTGTCATTTGATAATTTGTATACACATAAAATACACTTTTGACAGCAAATACACTTTGAGAGTGACAGCACTGTGCGTGATTGTGCACACCGCAATCCAGCTTGGTTTATCTCTTGGACATCATCGCGTGTGTGACACCCACTTACAGGGCTGCCATGCAGCCTGTGGTATACAGGATGTACAGCAAATGGGCCACTCACCTGTCATTAAAGAGGTTTGAAAGGTATGCCCACGTATTAGTGGGCCATTCTAGACTCATTGTGTCCTTCTCTCATGTACAAAATATACAAAAAAAATACTTTTAATTTATCCCACGCTCACTTAAAATGGTGATGACTTGATGTGCATATAAATAATAATTGTTATTAGCCATAGTGATATTGAATAAGGTTTTTTATGATGATGATGATAGTTATAGTTGACTGGTAATGTCATTACCGATGCATCAATTTATCTAAATGAATTATCACACTAACTGTGCATTATCAAATTGTGCATATGATAAGGGATTATTTACGATTCATGCAAATTATGTGCATGATATATACCAATGTCACATTTGCATAATGCACATGAGATAGGAGTAAAAAAGGCGAAAAAAAATCAAATTTTGAAGCCATTCATAACTATTCACTGTTTCACTGTGGGGAGAGTGAATTTTTATATGCCAAGTTAAATATGGCCAATTGGTCGTATATTTTCCGCTCGTTGCAAATGTTCACTATTCGAGACGAGTGGCCACCCTAGTTGATAATAATGTCATGTGCTTCACGTTTGATGATAAAGATTTTGTTATATTATTCACAAAGAGGAGGCCACGCGTGGCTGCATCACAGACAAAATTGACCACATTTCTTAAACGACTTATGATTTACTTGCTGGAGAACAACCATGTAACAATATCACCCCTACTGGTACATTAATGCCAATCTGCAGGCCAGTGCTGTGGGCATCCGCAGAGGGGGACAACTACCACCGGGGAATCCCTAGGCTACACTGCAGCAGGGATGGTTGAGATGAGATGGTGATGTAAGGAAATTTGAGTTACAGCAGCAAATTTTCAACTTCGTGACAACGATGGCACCGATTCTGTCTGCCGTCGCCGCCCCTGGCTCTATGGCTGCCGTTCTCAGTCTTGTTGTTGCGTGGGTCCGTGTGTCTCCGCGTAGCTGTGCACCGCTCGTCCAGCCAGCGCAGCTCGCGTAGCGGCCCAGGTGGGAGGCAGCGAAGCAGCCACTCGGCTTCCTCGCACACGGAGCCTGGTTCGGTGGGCCTGGCGCGCAGGCCCTCGGGAGAATCGGCGCACAGCAGGCATCTCATGCAGCCTGACGGTCGCCTGCGTCGCTCCACGTCCTCCGAGAGCCTGCAGAAGGACCAGGGGTAAGTTTGGAAGTAGTCGGTTTTTATCAGAACAGCGTGGAATATCCAGCTGTCCGCATGTATTTGCATTGCATGAATGTAATTTTCTACAGATGTTCACATATTTGACCTTTTCATATATCCTCCCATAGCTGAGTCCCCAGCAAGCCAGAAATGCGATGTTGTACTGTACCTAATCCAGAAATTACTTATATTTTTGCATTTTTTTTCGGTAATTGGTGTCGGCAACAAGATTGTCATGATTATCACCATGTTTACCAATATTATTGCCTTGGTAATTATTGCTGCATGATATGGTGCAACATTTACCCTCCCGAAAAAATGTTTGTCCCCCCAATTGTACCCGTCAGGTATATACAGGTCTTCATGTTTATTTCTGTGAAATTAACTACACATATACAAAGATAAATGTTTGTTTCACGAGCAATAGTTTTAGTTTTAAAATGTATTCATTAATGTGGGGCTTATTTTGACTCGCCCTAAGGTTTCTGCTGTATGTAGAAAAAAATGGATACTGGACTAATGAATTGTGACTGTAACCTTGAATTGCAAGGGGTGGCACCCGGGGGTGGGGAGATTGGGATGATGGGGGTGGTGGGGTTCGTTGCTCAGTGACAGGTACTGTCTTCTAGTAATACGCGTCATTTGTTTGATTGGGAGCGTGTAAAATCTATTGTATGTATGTACTTTGAACTTTTTCTGCATTGTATGTAGCCAACCGTGCTAATCGGAGGTGCGGGAAATTGGAGGTGCGGGAAATTGAATTTCACTGTTGATAATTGTATTTATTCACAGTATAATGTCATTCAACATATGTTTCACAAAAGTAGACGTTCAAATAAAAAACGCATTTCATTCTGGCCAAAATGAAACAAGAATAATCTTACGAATGGTAAAATGTTAGTTGGGAACTTTGAAAAAAAATAAAAATGGCACAAGAATGTCATCATCCCATTAAGATTGCGCTCGAGAGGACCGCTATGCACTTATTATATTACAAAGGCATTTGTCAAACATCCAGTGACCAGTAAAAGCTTAACCCTAAGTTGTACATGTGTAGTGAGCGACTTCCGAGACACGACGACGTGTAGAGGCCTCCTTGTTTATTTCTCGCACTTGCAGGCACAATCACTGAGCGACATATACCTATATACGGGGCTACGCATAGCTGACCCATCCACATAGCCCCATCGTCGGCGTCTAACTATATAGCTGGCTGACTAATATAGCGACGACGACGATGGGAGCCGTACAGCAGATCGGCCATGCGGCCAGACGATGGAGAAGAGATGACGGCGAAGACAGGGACTGCAGCCAGGACCCGGACCCCACGACAGCCCCGAACTTTCGGTCACGTCCCCCCTATATACTCCTCAGCGTGGCTAGGCCCCGCCTCTGGACACGCCCCCTTCTAGAACCTTGGAGCAGGTTCCCGGAGCTTCCCGACTGACCCCACCTTTAACCTTTAGCCCAGTTACGCCCCCCTTATAGTTGGTTATTATATAACGCACCCATACCCGTGATTATCCCTCCTGGCCAACAGATGGCACCCTGTCATTACATATGTGTGCAGAACATGTACAGCCCCTCTCCCCTTGTCATTTCACTGTTGGATGAGGGTCTCCCCATGCCATGCAAATCATGGGTGGTTATTTTACCCTATTTAGAGATTTGTCCAAGGCAAATACTAGGTTGTCCCTTCGTTAAATCGGTGTTGAGTTGCTTCTGTGTCTTTATTTTACTTCGCACATATTTAAAACACTGCACAAGTAACTGCTATTTGGTATGCCTGCAAATGAACTTTTTCTCGCGGGTAAAGCAACTCTGCAGCAGTCAGTAACAAATACTGCATTACATTTTGTATGCCCTCAGCTTTAATTGCCAATTGGCGCACTGCCTCTCTCTTTTGTTTCGCTCTGTCTTGTTTCACAGAGGGGGTCGGCTTTGCTGTAAACCAGCTTGTGCGTGCGAGACATGTTCATTAACACATGGTGGAGCATTCATTAACAATGTACTTCTACAAACTGGAACAATTTACACGTGTACCATATTCGGCAGTGCATTGTATCACACACCCAGTTTGAAATCTTATCAGATGTGTATATATATGTCTAACAAATGAAATCATTAGGAATTTACTTTATAAATAATAATAATAAGAATAATAATGTACAGCCCTTTGTCAGTTTATTGTGAAGTGAAGGCTTCCCAGTGCTCCATCAGACATTGGGGGGGTGTTTTGACCACGCTTTACCACACTGGGCCATTCAGTGGGGACCCATTAGCGGTTCAGATATTGTGTACATATGTTGAACTTCATTTGCACCGTACGTAGCCATCCGTGCTAATCGGAGGTGCGGGGGAAGGACAAGAAACTAAACACAAAAAGCCGTTCTAAAGAAATGAGTTTTCAATCGACAAATTGTGATCATATCTTCTTTTCTTCAGCCCTTTGGCTCTTGTCTATTGCGTATGCTGCACAAGACCTCTGGAGTTGCTGCGTTCAATACACTTCTAATTATGTTTTCAGTCCTATTGAACTTGCTTCTCCAGCCTCAGGAAGATCGATTAAATATTGTTACTGTTGCTGTGAAGTAATTACAGTAATTAGCTGCCAGTTACGGATAATTACGACAAAAGCCATCAAGTACAGTGGCAAGTAAGCGATAGTCAGTGTATGTCGGGTGTTGGTATGCTTGTTGGTGTGGGTAATATGGGTTGGGTTTGGGCTTTGTAAAGAAAGTTCGTGTGCAGTAGGGCTTTCGAAGGCCGAGGTTCACGTGGCTGGGAAAGGTTGGGGCTCTAGAAAGTCAGCGATTCACGGAGCATGAACTAATGCACAGTGATGCAAGGTGGGTAACTTGGCAATGCGTGGGCACTCACGAATTTCAGTCAAAAGCTCCTTCAACATAGCACAATGTACAGCCGTTGTGGATCACTAGTTTTAGTGAAGTGTGTGGACAGTCATTCTTAACTGAACATCAAATGCTGCGATTCTTAAATAAGTTAATGAAACCTAAAAGCTACCTAATGCCTTCGTCAAATTCACGTGTTCATTCAAATGTAGTTGCTAGTTTTGCAAGCTTTTCCTCTGCATCATCTATCAACTTGGTTAATAGTGAGTTAGTTTTGAGCATTTGCATGTTTAGTTTTATGTAAATTATGATTAGCTGAAATCCATAAATAATATTTTTCTGGGTGTCCTGAGAATAACTCCTCTAATCTTTCTTTGCAAGATGTACTGATATATTTTAAGCGTGCATTTTTCTTTCTTCGCATAAGAAAATATGTGTATTTTTTTGCGTAGGAAAACAATATATTGCATGAACACTCAAGAAACATACCGTGCCCTCCAAGCAGAAATTTAAATGGATTTGAAATTAACGTTCGGCCTTGCCTTTGTGAAGTATGCAGGAAATATGAAATGATCACTTAGCAAATTCTGTTCAGCAGGGGTTGTTTCTCATTGTTATAAAGGAGATGTTCCAAATGTGGAATGTTGACTCCCTTCAATATTAAACCTATTGATAGATATGGTGATTGATTTTTAAAGACGGAAATGTTTTATACGCATAGAAATACAATGAATTAAAACTCATATTTGTTTTCTTGACGCACACACTTGCAGATGTCTGCTTGCTATGTGCGCTTTTACATTTGTCTGCACAAAGAAACATTTTTCCACTCTCATTTTATAAAGCTAGTGCGTGTGAATAGAAGTGTGTTATATGACAATTAAAGTGCACACAATCTTTGTTGGCCACGATTGCTCAGTCAGTATATCAAGAACCACGCGAAAAATCGCAGTCAAAAATAAGGACATAGGGTTATTATATTAATTTCAACAAATTACATAGTTATTTAATTTATTTCAACAAATGTTTCAAATTGCTTCCATTTCATATGAATGCATGCATGAATTATCTTGATTGAATGTAGCATTTTTTTTAGATTACAACCTCCTTAAGCGTACATAAAAACGAATTAAACTCATTTGTCTTTTCGTCAATTTTCTTTCCATTTTTTAATAATTGAAGATAAAAAATATATATTAATGAAAAATAGATATAGCTATTAATAATGATAATAGATAAAATATTAACTTGAAGAATAAACATTAAAAATGTTTTAATGCCGGTGTTAAAATAAATGAAATAACCCTATATGCCCTGACATTTGAAACACCCTGTGTGTGTATATATATGGCCCATGCCAGGAAACTCTACTTCTAGATTTGAAGTTTTCGTGACTGCAAGGATCAATACACTTTGGTTCTTTCGGTAAAGTCACGTAAGTAAAAATAAAAATAAAATAAAAAATAAAAAGTGAAAACAACTTAATTAAATCACGACGTTTCGGGCGCAACAGCGAAAACAGTTGCTGAGGTATGCCGAAGAGATGGCTTTGACAAGCTATATAAATCCTTGTCAAAGCCATCTCTTGACTTTACCGAAAGAACCGAAGAGTAAGGATACTCTACTGTCAATTATAATGTTGGACCAGGTTAGTACTGATCTTAACATTGATATGTACTGAAATGATAATGTACACAATCATACTCCCGCACGTACGAAGAGAATTCCATCACTTCCACTCATTCACAAGCGGCACACTCGGAGACTTTACATGATTAAGTAATATCAAGCCAAGGATAAATTATCGTAATCCCTCCAATGTGTTTTTTGCGTTTATCACAGGCTTGACATTTTTTGGAGTAGTAGTTGTTGCAGAAATGTGGCTGAATTGTCAATAGGGATGGGGAGGTAGATTGCCAGATATCCCACAAGCAAAGCTGTCCTGTAAAATCAATTAAAACTCCTCCTTGCCAATACATTTCTATCCTTATTAAACCAGGTGAAATATTTTGCAAGTTCGATGTTTTTATTGAATAATAATTGTAGTTTCATGATAAATAGTTACATTATAGTGAATGTGAACATTAGTGTGTTGTCGCATGGACAAAGGTAATGGTCATCGTGATCAAGAAGAGACGTGTGCGT